GGGAGAGCTCTTAAACAGAAATTCCCATTGCCCTCCTCTCCCCCCTGTCTTTATCAATAGCCAGATTACATGTGGCTGTTAGAATTCTGGCAGGATCATGTCCTTGGTCTCCTTTTTGGATACATACCAGTTGGTAGGTACAGCTCTGACAGTATGGAAAGGGCAGTGAGTGCAGATGGTCAGAAAACATTCAGTTTCAAGCCCTAGGTCAGTGTCAGGAGCTTGCGTTGCCTTCTCTGCTGAGGCATCGGCATCAAGATAGACTCCTGAGGCTCACTCATTTTGGACATTTCATTCTGGTCTGCCATGAAGCAGGTTCAGTTTGTCAATGCCTAGCAGAAATGTGACTCTCTGGATGTGACAGATTTGTCTTACTGAAGCCCCTCTTCAACATGCTGGGGATGTATTCCTGTAACCCTGCTTTGTGCCCAGCACTCCCTGCACACTACAATGGTATGATGCTGGCCCCAGTGTGGGGAAGGGCTAACTCTGGGGCCAAGCTCTCCTCAGGTTCTTCAGGCCATGTGCAGGGAACTTCACAGTTATCCCACATTAGGTTCTTGTTGCGTCACAAGCTACCTTCCTCCCCTTTCTCAATTTCTGAGCCCACCAGGCAAATCTATTTTTTGCCTTCATCCCATTTCCCCACAAACATGCAAGCCAAAACCATACCAGCTCCTCCTACCTCTCTTGACCTGACTGACAATTCCCCAGGCACAGGGGCTGACTCTGTGATCAGACTCTGGGAATGTTTTGCAATATACTCATCCTGCATGGCAGAAGAAAAAGCATTTGAATGCCACCCTATATTGGGACTGAGTGTAAGTAGACTCACTGGAAGTGATACAGTTTCTCTTGCCCACAATTCATAGTTTATTTTATAGTTATAGAGAAAGAGAATTTGGAAAATTCCCTTTAAAGGGGACTAAATGCATGAAAAAATTATGAAGTGTTATTTTGCCAAAATAATTTCTGGTTAATAGTATAATACATGTTTTTTTCTACCCTGAATTTTGACAGTCCCTGTCCCTGCTTTTACTGCCTTCTTCCCTTACTCTCTATTTCCCTTTAGAGCTCCAGGCTATTAACCTGTAATTTTGTACCCTTCCTGGGTGTCACCTAGCACTGATTTGGAATGTGGAGCAGTTTAGCTATTCATTCAGATCTGTATGGGGAAAAGACTGGCCAGCTGGCACCCACATCACTACACTTCAACCAGCTCTGCAGCTGCATCTCCTTTTTTAAGACCCTTTCCTTCTGCCAGATTTTATTTGTCAAATGGTGGGTTTACTTGCATTACTCTAGTGTGAGAAAGACAAAAGGAAGGGTAAAAATAGGCTTAAATCCCATGTAAAGAAGTCATGAGACAAGTCATGTGCCCAGTACATTAGTCAGTCCCACAATATATGGATTGAGCCTTCTGAGGTAGATTCAGAAATCATTTTGGCACTTCATAAATTGCATTATGCACTATTTAAATATAGAAAAAACAAGCCTAGAAAAGTTGTCCCACATATGTCCATGCCTTACAGTAACTGCATTATTTAAGAAATAATTGCATATGTAACAACAAAGAAAAGGAAGAAATTAACACATGACGAACTGACAGGCCAAAAGAGGTTTAGAACTTTGAGAGGACTGTTAAGCTAAGCTAGGAAGTCAGGCCAAAGAGCTGTGAGCATCCCTGGCACCTGACTCTGCTGTGTACAAGCAGAGCCTGAGAGCAGCACGTTCAGAAAACCCCTGTGCCCTGCCTGTCCTTCTGGGCAATGAAGAGCTCGAACAAGATCAGGTCTCAAAAGATGCTGAGCTCTGACATCTCTCACAGACAGTAGGGGCAGCTTGGTGGAGTGTCCGGGACGTTGGTACTGCCAAGTCCTCTGATGATTAATTTTGTTTTTTCCAAGTGCTCCCAGATGGCAGCTCCCATCTCTGGCCACTGGCACCCTGGATCCCTGTTTGCCACCCTTCTTCTCGTTGCTGCCTGGCCTTGGGAGAGAAGCCTTCCCAACTCGTGATCAGCCTGGTGCAACCACAGTCCCTCTTAGCTGCTGCTGATTTTTCTTTGGCCATTTCTGACAATGTCTGGAGTGAGTTCGCTAGTAGGCAAACCCTGCACCTGCATCCTTCTCAGACTCATTCTCTGTGTTGCCACCAGTGAGTCACAGGTTCATTTGCTTTTTCTCTTCTGTAAATGAAGAGTTCACAGTCACCTCCTAGATCCTGAATGTTTCTCACACCTACACACTAAAAGCACAGCTGCTTCGCATCAAAACATCTCCAGCAGGAATGGTGCCACTTGTAAACCTGGGTTCTTGATTTATGTTGCTTATAAACAGGAGAATCCTGTGTTCTGTTTGCAGGGCTGTCCCGGTGTTGTGAGAAAGCCCTGCGGAGCCTGTGGTTGCCCTGTGCTGCCACATCACCCTTATGTGACCTCACCTGCACCTTCTGACTCCTAAGGGTGACATTCAGGGCCAGAAACCCCATTGTTCTGGGATCCAGTCAGCTCACAATAACTGAGAATAGCTGTGGTTTTGGCTGTAGACCTTCCCCCTTTCCCCCCAGATGTATCAGTCACTCCAGGCTGCTGCTAAGTGTTCTTGTCTCCTTTAAGTTCATGTTGCAGTTTGTACAATTTCATGATAAAGTCAGACTGTGGCAGTTATAGTGTTAAGTGAGATGAAGATAGGAATGTATTCACCTTTTTAGTCTGGAACAGATTCAGACTTCCCAACTGTCAAATTCCCAGTATGTTCAGTAATAAAGCATGGCGTGTAAACATGTCAGCACTTAATGGGGCCTTGAATCAAGCACTCACTCATTCCACCAACTACTGTTGGTGCCAATAGTGGTTCAGTACTTATTATTTTACATTTCTTTTACCGAGGACTTTGTGACTTTTCCTAAGGTGCTAAAACCAAAACTGTAACAGAAGAGGCTTTCTGATAAAGGTTGAGCAGAAATAATTAATACACTTAGAAATATTTTTATTTCCCTAAGAATAAGTTAATTTTTGTGGCTTTGTTCCCTTAGGTTCTACATAGACCTCTCAAATAGTCCAGTCATTAGAGACTGTGGAAGGGCTATATTTGGATAAAAAACAAAATACCACAAAACCCAGTGGAAGGCTTGACCCTGAAGCAGGTGACCATTGTCAGCTTTGATTTTATTGCCAAAATTTGTAAATATTTTTCTAGTGTATGACAAACAACTGTGGCTATTTGGCCACAGCTACTTGCTTGTTTGTAGCACCAGCTAACATTCTTCTCTGATTTCAGTCTGTTTATTCTGATGTGGGTTGGGTCTGAAGACCTTAGATCTTTCCTTTTAAGGAACAGGCTGGTTTTAATGACCCAGTCATGAGCTCCTAATGTTGCAGAGCCTTCTTCTGGAGAACACCCTCCATTCCCTGACTAGAAACCAATGATAGATTGGTTACTGCAACAGGAGATGGGAGACCACAGTCCAGTGCTTTGCCAGAGACATCTGTGGGATTTGAGACAAGTCCCTCTTCTATGGTCTGTGGTGTTTTAAAATGGGGATTTGAAAAAGAGTGGTAAGATTATTATTTATATATATTATAATATCATCTCAAATCATAGCTGTGGACACTCGTGCTAATTGTGGACACTCATTGTGCTAATTACTAATGGGAGAAATGGGTCTTAATGTCTTCACAAAGAAGCTGAAAGAACCAATCAGGTTCTGGAAGAATGACTGTGGGGATTTTAGGAGAAATGGATGTTAATGTCTTAGAAATGGGCCTTAATGTCTTCATGAATATCAAGTTGCATTTTTTGCAGAATCCAGATAATTTGAGCTTCTAAACTTTAGGGCAATGTGTAGTAGGTGGTTCAGGAAGTCTGTACCTTCCTAGTGCCTCAGCTAATGGGGAAAGGAAGAGGGCAACCTGCAGCCAGGAGTTTCGGATAAAAGGAGGCTGCATCCTCCAAAAATTTGAGAGAGACCCCACGGGAGTATGGCCTAGTGGACTCTATCCCTTTACTCAAATCAAGTTGCAAGATTCCTGTCTCTTTTGTGGACACTGGCTTTTCACAATGTGGTTTTCTGCACATCAGCAAGTGTTTCATTTAATTATGACCCATGAGACGGCAGCTGGTCACCAAGAAGGGGACAGTTTGGCAGCACTCATCAGTGCAAAAGGCGGGGATAATATGAATCTTGACTTCATTGCAGGTACTCAGAGCTTGGAAGAAGGCTACTGAGATTACAAGTTAGAAATGTGTATTTGGTGTAAAAAAACTGTAGTGTGCTCAGCTCAACTTGTTTGTCTTCAGATGTTGAAAACATTTGATTGTGGAGCGAAGCAAACATTGAAATTCTGGACTTCAACCAGGACTTCGCTTTTCATATACAACTGTCTAGTTTCAGCATGTGATGGATCTCAACTTGCAAACACCAGAGTACTCACAGCCAGGTGAAGACTGATTTTGCAAACCTCTGATGACCTCTCAGCAGCACCTAGTGAGGGCACACTCCTGCTCTGCTCTCTTCCCCACCCCATCGCCACTGCTCCATAGAAGTTGTGCTTTGCAAAACCTTAGCTATTATGAGTGCTGTTTGAAAAGCCTGTGTAACATCTAGAAAAAATGTGGCTTCCCAGAGGACAAAAAATACTGGAAATTTTCCTGTTTATATTTCTGGAGAACAGGGGGTGATATTTTTTGTTTGAAACCACAAATTTCAGGGTGGCAGAGGCATAAAGCAACCTTCACTCATCCCAGGGTAACAGCTTCTGACCCCTTCAGGAACTGCACGGCGCGCGGGCCCCTCCGCAGGCCCTGGGCCCCGGCTGCGCTCCTGCCCTATAGCGGGGCATGCAGGGCCCCACCCCGCCCGGGGCCGTCCCGCCACGGGCCGCGGCCTCCCGGGAGCGGGCGGCCCTGCAGCGGCGCTTGGGGAGGGCCAGGCCCGAGCCGGCTGCGAGCCCCGGGGGCCCGACGCGGTGAGTCCCGGGCACGCCGGGCGCTGGCGAGCCCGCGCCGTGAGGCCGTAGCTGAGGCGGGGCCGGCGCGGCGACGGGGCCGGGCTGGGGGCGGTGGAGGCCGGGCCGGGCGGCATGATCGGCACCGTGCTCTGCTACGTGCTGTTGCCGGCGGCGCGGCTCCTCCAGGCCCTCCGAGGTAACCCGGCCCCGGGCGGGCGGCGGCGGGGGCAGGGGGAGCTGCCGGGGGTGGCCCGGAGGGGCGGGGATGTCCCTCGCCATCCCCCGCCCCAGCCTGAGGGGGGTGCGGCCCGGCGGCCGGGGTCGGCGCGGCTGCTCCGGAGCTCCCGAGGCCCTGGCCCTGGGCAGATGGAGCGTGGGACTGCCGGGCCGGGCCGGGCCGGGCCGGGGCTGCTGGCCCCGGGCAGCGCGGGGAGCTGCGTGTTTGGAGGGAACAGCTGCCGGCTGTTGTGCTGCAGAGGCACACTGCGCTCTGCGCAGGGGCTCCAGCTCCTGCCCCCAGCCTGCTCTCCAGTCTTGGCGAGATCCTTGCAGATGGGCAGCTCAGAGATCTGTGATCCCCCAAGGACCTGCGGGTGACTTCGTGGATGGGCTTGTTTCGTGTGCATTGCTATTTCACTTAGTTTCCCTAGATCCTGCTGTTACTTCTCAGTCCCTGATTACTGAGCTCATGTAAAGCCACCCTCCAGTCTGAACCTGTCCCTGGGCCTGTAGCAACTACTGGACTGGCACACTGTCTGTTTTCATAGTGAGCAGCGAGCTGACTCCTCTTAAATTCAGCTCCTCTTGTGTATTAACAGGCTCTTATAGGCCCTCATCTTGCCTGGCCAGTGGTGTGTGGAAATATTACCTTGGTGTGTTGGTGTTTCTGACATTAATGAACTTAATTACAAACTGACAGAGAGGAGTATGGCTCTTAAAGCTCCATTTCCGAGACATACAGAAAACTGTGACATAAAAGTTATAGTAAAACTGTACATGAATGTTGCTGACTCCTCTATGTTATTGTTCTGGCTCACTGACAGGGCTGCAGAGAAAAAAGTGATTTGTAATCAACAGAAATTGCTAGTTAACAGTAGGGACGAGTGTCTGTGCAGAATTCACAGCAAAGCGTAAATGCCATCTCTTGTATATGCAAGTGAAACGAATCTCTTTCTATTTTACCGCACACATATTAGTGTATTCAATGTTACATTAAAAACAGTTTAAAGTGGTTTTACTTTTTTGCCACGTCAGTCATCAGGTGGTCTGTAATTCTTACCAGAATTTCTTCTGTGCATACACTCTCTCTAATGAGGCATATGTTGGTCCCTATGTGTCTTCATTTTTCATCTCTTAGTAACAGAATGGTTTTTCTTCTACAACACATTCTTGTGATATATTTTACTCTCTTAGCTGACTACTATTTCTTGCTCAGTCCCTATAAAGAAACTTGCTCCAAATGATGATCTGCAAGACCTTGGCTTCTTAGCCCATGCGCCTGATCAGCTAACTTAGAGACTGCCTTTACGTATATTGCTGAGAGCTGATAGTTACCACAAGGCCTTTCAGCTTGGCTGACTCTTTGTGCTGCTGCATGAGTTAGAATTGCATTCTCTAGATTTGATAAAGCCATTGCTATTGTTTGCAGTTTCAGTGACTTGGATTAATATAACTGGATTTGGACTGTGGCTTAGCGTTCTGGAGGAGGCAGGGGAAGTTATTTAGATTGTAACTGTTTTCCCTCAGAGAAGTAATTTGTTTGGGTTGCTACACTGAATGGTATTGCGCAGAGTTACAGCAATTGCATTGGAATAAGAAAATAATGAGTAAGAAAGCATTTCTGGCTGTTTTATTTTGATTTTGTTTTTAAATGACAGATGCTTTCTTTACCTATCGAAAGAATGTGCTTCTGGCGAAGAGCCCGTCCACCCAGATAGAAGGTGTCTTTGCTGCAACCAGAGGAAGATCAGCTCCAGAAGAGCAAGAAGTCCTTCTCCAGCAGTGGCTGGAGGAAGGAGTAGGGAATTTGCCAGCCAGTGAGAGTGTTCCATCAGTCAGGAAGGTATCAGTTACACTCACTAGTGACTGGTTAGAAGGTTCACAGCTATTGATGACCAGCCTCAGCGATCTGAATACATCTCCAGAAGTCACCCAGTGTGCTGATCAGCAGCACTCAGAGCTAAATGCCTTGGCTTCTTCAGAACTGCAAGATCATGCAGTGGCAGAACTGGCAAGATTACCATCAGAGGAAACAGTGACTGTAGCAGGCAGTGCCCCTTGGGCAGCTGTGGTGCCACAGGCAGATCACCAGACAGCTGGCTGTGCTGGTATCAACGTGGAAGTGCTGAATGATGACCCAGCTGTGCTGGCCTGGAGTTTAGCATGTGATGCAGAGACGGTGCCACCAGTGCTCCCAGCCCAGCCCATTCAGGATGCGGTGCCATTTTATCCTGTCTCAACGGAGGTGCCCTACCATGGTCAGTGATGGCTCTGAATCTAATGTTTAGTGTGGGATTGGCATTTGTGGTGAATGTGGTCAGGTTATTGTGTCAGGGCTTGCTGTCAGCAAGACATTGATTGCCTGTGCAGGGTCGACAGGATCTGCTAGTGAAAACTGTGAAGTGAGTTTTTGCTGAGGAGGGGCTGGTCACAGCTAGTGGTTTCTGTGCCGTGAGACTGTCTGGTCTGAATATCAATATATGTTCCTTACTGTTCTCAAATGCTGGCTTTGTACTCTAAGAAGCATTGAAAAGTGGGTCTGGTGTTTCAGTATGCTTACTCTGGTCATGTGTTATGCCATCCCTACAGACAACTATCCAAAGATATCCAGAAAGAGCATCTGAAAACCTGAGTGGGTGCGAGTTTGCTCAGAGGCTAGAGTGCCCTAGCTTAGGAAATGGGAATGGCTGTTCTCTAGGTCCCAGGGGAACCAAAGTATCAGCAAGGTACCCAGTGTGGCTGTAACTTTGCTTTTTGTCTCTTGCATATAGAGATCTTATGGAGAGACTGGGAGGATCTTTCTGTCCAGCCCTGTGTCTTAGAGCAGGTCTCAAAAAACACTCCCCTCTTTGAATTTCGAGTCATGTCTTACAACATCCTTGCCCAGGACCTGGTGGAGCAGGGCCTTGATCTCTATGTACACTGCCATCCAGACATCCTGAACTGGAACTACCGCCTTCCAAACCTTTTGCAGGAGATCCAGCATTGGGATCCTGACGTAAGTATGACTAAGTTCTCTGTACATCAGTGTCACCTGGTTTGATTCCTTGTTTGATCTAACAGTATTAAGAAAAGAAAAAGATGGGGGCAAGTCCTAGGAAGATATTACCTGCTTGGTAACTGGACACTAATTGGTCTGAGAGTGATTGAGGGCTTTCACAGACCATGTTTTTGGTGTCTGTCTTGCTTTGATTGTAGAAACTAGCCATACTTTGATAGCAGGGCTTAACTTTTATAAACAGCAGAAGTAGAGAAGAAAGACCAGTGTTCTAAGGTAGCACAGGAGGGGAACCCTGCATAGAAGAGGACTCCATGAATTTCTCTATTCTTTAAATCCTCTTTGTGGGATGAAGGATCTTTTATCTCATTGCTGGAAAGCTGAATGATAGGCTGCTGTGACCTAGAAAGTTAGTTCTTTTCATCTGGAAAGTACAGGACAGAGTTATGGTGGTGACATTTCTGTTGGGAGGGTTGGCATGTGAATGTACTTTTCCACTTTCTTCCTTCCCCAAAACAAGGTGACTAGCAAATACTTGTGGAGCAAGTGAGGTCTCTGCCTTCCTTCCAGGTTCTGTGTCTCCAGGAGGTGCAAGAGAATCATTACTGGGAGCAACTGGAACCAACATTCAAGGAGATGGGTATGTCCAGCTTTTGTGGGTCTGTACATCCAGCTCATGGGACTGGCCAAGCGGTGCTTCCTGCTTAACATCTTCAAAGCACTCAGTTTCAAGAGACCTCTTCCTGTTTGCCAGGTGGCTGCTGGCCCTACTTCTGAACTATCTGCCTAGACCTTTATCCTTTCTTTTGAAATTGATGTCTCTGAGTTGAAAGATCAGAGTAACAAAACAGAGGGCCCTAGGAGGGCAAGGAGAGAGAAAATGCCCCCAGTAATTAATAATAAAGGGTGGTTATTGGAAAAGAATTGGGTATATTCCTGTACCCAAAGGTAGTAGGAGCCTTTTCTATCCAGACTTGCTGAGCCTGAGGTAGTGACTGGATGGACCTTTTAATAGGTGATGGTTTCTTTTCAGGCTTTGCTTGCTTCTATAAACGGAGAACCGGGACGAAGACAGACGGATGTGCAGTGTGCTATAAGCGCAGCAGGTTCCAGCTGATCAGTCTCAGCCCCATAGAATACTTCCGGCCTGGCCTGGACGTCCTCAACCGCGATAATGTGGGCTTGGTGCTGCTGCTGCAGCCTGTGCTCCCCGAAGGTCTGGGTCTGGAGGCAGTCAGTCCTTTGTGTGTGGCCAACACTCATGTGTTGTTCAATCCCCGTCGAGGAGACATCAAACTGGCCCAGGTGGCCTTGCTGCTAGCAGAGATTGACAAAATTGCAAGAACTACTGAAGGCAGCTACTATCCTGTCATCTTGTGTGGAGACCTGAACTCTGTACCTGATTCTCCACTCTACAAATTCATCCGGAATGGTGAACTTTCCTACCATGGGATGCCAGCCTGGAAGGTAGTTGCCAGCCAGAACTGGGATTGGATAGCTCTTTATTGTCTGCTGCTAGAGAAATGCATGGCTGCATTTTTCCTCTTGTGAGGAAATAGTCTTAATACTGGATTAAATTATTCAGCAGTCTTCCCCAATGTGTCCAGCACTGCAGGGGAAAGAAGTGGACGAGTGTGTGAATGTTGTTTCCATCACTGCTCTTTTGGTTTCTCTTGGGGCACACTTGTGATAATGTATCTCTTAATATCAAGTCTTTTTTTTCCTTTCCTATGGAATTTTTGTGCCTGTGTGACTGCAAGTGTAGGGAAATGCAACTCCACCAAGACTTACTGAAATTTTTTGTGGATGTTTGTTCTAAAAAAAGTTTGAAGTGGGTACTTATGCTAGAGTCTCTTGTGGTTGTCATACTGTGTGTCTGTGATCAAATATATGGTTGTCATTCAAGCTAAATCATCACTTCAATGAGATACCTGTAAAGTATCTTGTCAGGTGACTTTTAGCTAATTGGATCTGTCCCCTACAGCTGAAGGCTTATTATACCTTTACCAAACTCTGAATAGCTTAGTTCATGCTTTTCTAAGAGGGCATTCTCCTGTCTTACTCTTGGCAAGTGTATATATGTACATCGTCTATAGCTTGCACATCTGCTCTCTGTCACTGATGGCTGCTCTCCTTTCCTGGCCTTCTTGCAGGTGTCTGGTCAGGAAGACTTTTCCCAGCAATTGTATTCACGGAAGCTGCTGGCCCCGCTGTGGCCAAGCTCACTGGGTGTCACAGACAAGTGCCAGTATGTCACCCTGTGCCAGCCAAAGAAACCTGGTGAGCTACAGTATGCACTGACAATATGAGTTTGCTGAGGTGGGCAGTTTGTCTGCCTTGCTGTCTCTCTGAGTAGCTTGGGCATGTGCTGCATAAGGCACTTGACAAAGATTCTCTCCTTCTGCTTTGTAGATGAATTAAATACAATTTTTTTTCCCAGAGCCTATTGCATTTCTGCCTTTTTCTTTCTCTAGTCAGGAGCTGAATGTTCCTCTACCAGTAACACTTGCTCTATGTGTCTCTTTCACATTCCCAGACTTAGGCTTTTGTGCAGTTGTGAACGACAGGCACTGCTTTAATCTCCGGGTGTTTGGGGTGTGGTTTTGGATAGTATTTGCAAACCCTGTAAAGAAATCATTCCTAAGACTCAGTTAGAATAATGTCTGTTCTCTGCATCCATAGAGAGGATTAATAAATGGAGCCCACGCCAAATATCTTTTGTTAAAATCTTGAATGTAGAACTTGGATTCAGCCTGATCTCCAGAAATGTTTTTCTCACAGACATTTCCTGGAGTTGCACACCAACTGATCTGCTTGACAGTCCCTTGAACTTTTGGTGTCTCAGAGAGGACATTCTTACTTTGTGCTGACGATGACTGTTGCACAGCAATAGCTGTGCTCTGTTCTTCTACTTTTACACATGTGTTCTACGTGTTGGTTATTAGGTGATTTTTATTCTCATGGTATCAGAACGCTTGGGCACAAAAGACTCTCTCAAACTAAAGATCTCTAAGAGGCCCAAAGGTCTAAAATATAGGTAGGTGTTCCCTGGGGGTGTGACTTTGCTGCAGTTACTTTCTTCTTTTAATTTGTACTTTTCTCTGCAGGGAGACGTGAATACAGCCGTGACTTCCTGCTGCAGTTCCGCTTTTGCGATGTTGCCTGTGAACGACCACCGCAGCTGGTCCTCCTGGAAGGTGTGACAGATGCTAAACCAGGTATTAATGGGAGACTTTTCAACTTGTCACTCTCCTAGCTCAGTGGAGCCTCTCCTCTGAGGACAGACTGAGAGACTTTGGACTGGAGAAGAGAAGGCTCCACTGAGGCCTCATTGTGGCCTTCCAGTACTTAAAGTAGGCTTATAAAAAATGAGGGAGAGTGACTATTTACACAGGCATATAGTGATGGGACAAGGGATTTTAAACTTCCTAAAAGGTTTTAAACTTCGTAAAATTCTTTACATAGAGGGTAGTAAGGCATTGGGCCAGGTTGCCTGGAGTAGTTGTGGATGCCACATCCCTGGAAAATGTTCAAGGCCAGGTTTTATGGGGCCCTGGGCAGCCTGATATAGTGGGTGACATCCTTGCCCATGGGATGGAGGGATGGAACTAGATGATCTTTAAGGCCTCTTCCAACCCAGGCCATTCTATAACTGTATGATTCTATGATTTCAAGGAAAACATAAAGTGAAGGTAATGCCTGGTGAGGAAAGGTAAAGGCAGAAGGGTGCCTTCTGTGACCATGATTAGATTCCAGGAGAGCTCAGAGAAGTACAATTTCCTCCCTCATACACACTGACTGTGTTCCTTGAGATGCACTGACATTCAGCTTCTTTAAGCTGTTTCTTATAAACTTCCTTTAAGCTGAAACAGATACATATATTTCTTTTTTCTGCTTCAAGATTTTGGTGGTGGAGAACAGCCTGAAGACTGTAATGATACATGGTGGTCCCAATATAGATGTCTCTGGAAGCTGGTCTGGGCTTTGTGGCATGGCTGGTTCTGCTTTTTCTGTTCTGCCTTTCTAGACAACCTTTGAGTAAGCTGTAGGCTAAGACAAGCAAACTTTCTTTTGAGAGCAAAGGTTGAAATACCCTGGACTTTGGTAATATTGAATGCTTTAAGGACATGTCCTCAGCAGGACAGAATATGACTTCTCAGTTGTTTGCACTGATCTGCTCTAGGGATGTTCCTGTTAGCCTTACAGCTTGTGTTTCCTTTGGATATTTTCCTTTACGATGTTCATGACTGGAAGCTCTCTGCTCTTCTTGGGCAAAAAGATTCATTTGGTTTCAGGACAAGCTTCTCAGACTTGGGATGAGCAGCCTGTTCTGGGATCTGTGTAGGTCTGGCTGGAATCTCTTTGCTCCTTTGCAGACCGCCCTGCACACTGGCCCAAGCCTGCTGCCATGGTGAAAGACCCTGATCCCCAGCCATTCATCCCAAGGTAACTTGGTGCACCTTCAATGGCCATAGTCTTCAAACTCAGCCTTGTTTTCCAGAGCCCTGAGAATCTGGCTGAAATAAAGACTGAAGTAAATGTGAAAGAGAGTAAGGAGGGCTATCTGGAAGAGCTAGGTAAGGAGGGCTATCTGGAAGAGCTAGGTCCTCCCAGGATTGTCTCAGTAGCTGGGTGCTGTTCTGTCAGCATTGTGTTGGTGAGATTGAGAATGAAGGGCATAGGCAGATACAGGACTGGGTATTGAAGACAAAGTAAATTCACAGTCTGTCTTGCTTAGGTGTATGTGGAGCGAATAGTTCTGAAAGATTTTATGTGCTCATAAAGTAGGAGTAGTTTAGACAGTTGCATCAGCAAGGGAACATTCAGCTGTGACTGCAGTACTGAAAAGGTATAATTCTCTTTCCTTTCTTGGTAAATGGTGACTGTTTGTGTGCAGGTGTTCAGGTGTTATCCAGCATGGCCTCAACCTGACCTCTGTCTACAGCCACTTCTTGCCACAGAGGGGACGCCCAGAGGTCACAACAATGCCCATGGGGCTTGGAGCTACTGTTGATTACATTTTCTACTCAGCAGAGCCTGTGGAGAGCAAGGCGGGTGAGTGTGGCAGTGCAGGGCTTATCCCCGTGACATTGGAGAGGACTGTGAGGCAGGCCAGAGGCGTTTCATTAAGCTGGTGGATCTACGGGATCTGTCTTTGAAATAATACAAAGGTGGAAGTAACATTTGCTCAGGTACCGTGAGAAGACAGTGTTTGTCTTTGCTGTGAAAAAAATGAGGCTGCTTATGTTCATGTAGACTTTTGAGGAAGCTAGAACAGAATATATTCTTTTCTTACTTGTGTCCTGGTAACAGGCAGTGCTGGGTCCTGAGTTCAAGGCTTGGACTTCTGGTCAGTCTGAGACTACATGCTGTTCTTGGAAGGAGATGACTCTGATTCTTTTACAGTGGCACCTCTTCTCTGCTGCCTGAAACAGGAGTTCTGTTGATGAACAACTGCATGTAAATGCATCCAGGAACTCTCTTGGAGCTGCTTTGGGGAATCATGTTTGGGGAAGAGGTCAGAATCATGTTTGGGGAACAGGTTAGGAATGAAGAGATTAATTCCTCCTCAGGGGAGAATCTGAAGTTATTGCTAGGACACAGTTCAAGAAAGGAACTTCTCATGTAAGCAACTACCTGGTGAATTTAGTGTATTCTTGCTTCCTATGTCTGCAAGTATATGAAACCATGAACAGCAGCATTGTAGGGTGCTCACTGTTTTCACATCTAGGCTCAAAGGTGCATGAAGTGTGAAGGCTGTCTTCATTTTTCAGGGAAAGAACAGGAAAGGATTGACAAGCATTCCTCTGTGAGCGTGTAGACTTAATCTGCGGTGCCAGTCTCTGGCTGATGTTTCTTCCCATTTTCTTTGTCAGGTCGCAGGCTGTACAAGGATGGAGCCCTGAAGCTGCTTGGCCGTCTTTCTCTTCTCTCTGAAGATGTCCTCTTGATGGCAAATGGCTTACCAAATCCTTTTTGTTCATCTGATCATCTCTGCCTACTGGCTAGCTTTGGCTTGGAGATCTCCAGCCTCAGAGAGAGTTAGTGTTGGTTCTCTTTCCCTAAAGAAAAGTTGTTCTGAAAACAGCAATTGAGACTCTGGATTGCACAACCTGCTTGCAAGAAAACCCTTTTCCTTGTCATGTCCTAAAAGTCCTTTTCTCCCCTCACACCCTCACTAAACGCAGGGATGGGAGAGTTGGAGTGCTTTTTGCATTGGTATTTTCTGCATCTCTGCAAACCTGAGCTGTGTTCCCCATGGGCTGCCAGGTGTCAGCATCTCTTTAAGAGACCTTGTTCCACTGCCTTGGTTGGCAGGTGTTTTTGTGCTGCAGGAACCAACGTAATGCCCATGTTTATTTGTCCCTTTGTAAGATTTTCAAGGAGCTGGAAAAGAGAGGGGCAATGCTATCTGCTTGTGGTTAGTTTAATTGCTACCAAGGAGCATGGAATGTATATGCCAATATTCCTTCACACCAAAACAAGTTCTTTTAGTTTTTTTCTCTGTAATAATTCAGTACTTTCAGGGCTTGTTGTTGCATTGCCTTTTAGATTGGATCTGCTAACTGCTTAGAAATGTCTTTTACTTCCTAATCTGTAAGGGCTGACTTGCTGACAGGAGGGTTTGTGTGGTGTAACAGTTTCTACAAGAAACTTCTTACTGTGACTAATGGACCAGGGAATGGGATTGCCAGGAATGGAACAAGGGGTTCTGCAGAGCCACTCACAGCAGCTCTGGAACTGCAGCAATAGCCTAGAGGCCTTGGGGAAGGCTTCCTTCCTTTCTAGCAGTCTCAGAATGGTACCTAATTTGTCATTTTTAGCAAACATATTTAGGATCCTCCCAGTGAATATCCTGTGGAAAAAAATGACCCTGTAAGGCATGATTACCCCAGAGACGAAAATGGAAGGCATGTGGGAGCCAGCAGAGCCATCAGATGGAAGAGCTGATCTTGTCACTTGCCCTGTTCTTTGTGCACTCCCTATTGCATTCAACCTGCCAGGGGTCAGTAGCCAGCCAATATCCATCTCTTGCGCCAGACTGAAGTCCATGCTGCATCCTTCTTCTGCACCCAGCCATGTTTAGGTGTAGGTAGAACCTTTAGGATCAACTCCTGTCTCTTGACATGTGTTGGGAGGAAGGGGAAGGCTGTGTAACTTGGAGCCAGACTGCAGTCACTTGGATCCCAGCATACTTTTGGTGTCCTATCAGTGTGCTCTTGTAAGCAGTGGCTTGGCCAGTACAAAAGCAATCAAGCTGTACCTGTTCCTAAAGTAAATTCCCCAGTTCAACCTGACATTTGGTGCTCAGTTTTTCCTAAGAGATGAAACCAATCTTGACAGAAACCAATATTGGCAGAAACATTATCAATCTTCTGTTCACAAACAAGGCAGAAAATCTGGTCCCACCTCTGGCTTTTGCAGGAAGGTACAGGAGACTTGAAACATTGTTTGTTCTTCATGATCTAGATTGAGTGACTTTGATATTTTAAATGTTACTTTCTTTATTGAAAAATAAAACACTGCTAATTTAAGAAAATACCACAAAGTAACTGTGGCACTTGTATTTCTGGCTGCTGAACCTCTGAAGACTTGATCGACAAGGGTTTGCTGGCTGCAAGGTGAAAGAGGGCGATAGGCTACACAAGAAAGTAATGAGGCTTGAAGAGAGGGAAGAAATGAGCCTAATTTAATGTCCCAAGACATCCCTAAATCCCAGAGGGGTCTTCTTTGGCATTGGGTTTGTCTTGCCCCTCCATCCCCCACCTTCCCCTCGGAAAGATTTACATTCAGGAACCCTTGTCCTCCTCCCTAGGAAAGGAATGCTCCTGATGTTTTACAGCTCACTTCTGTAAACTACAAGGTGTGTGAGGGGGAGAGAGTTGTGTTCTGTGCTCTTGTGAGCATATAAGGACTGCAGATTCCCCTCTTGCCCTGCCAGATGGTGTGGTATTTGTCTGGTGATGTGTGGATGGCCTTTGCTACCATTTGTGAGTTTCTGTAAGTGAACAGCAGTCTTGAGCGGGGTATGAATAATTTTGCCTTTAGGTAATGGTTCTGGCATGGCACTGGTACATGGGGAGGGATGGATGCAGAGATTTGCATTTATATGACTGTTTATCTCACAGTTTGACTGATTTCTGCAAGTACTCTTACTCTGATTTTGTATTTATAAGGGGAGGGAGAGAAAGGGTAAACTGAGAGCTTTGCTTTCTATCTGGCTCAAAAAGCTTGCCAGAAGGCAGCCTGGTTGCAGATGACTCCCTCCTGCTGTTAACATTGTAATAGGAACCTTAGAAGACCTAAAGGTTTAACAGCAACCAACCAAAACCACCATAAAAAATTCTGTGACACATAGTGTTGGCACTTAGAACTTCAGCTATCTGCTTCTATTGTAATTGCTGGCTGAGCCTGAGGTCAGCTGGTGAGGAGGTGTGTGTGAGAGTGTGTGTGTCTGTGAAAGCTGCCCATGAGAGAGCCAGACTGAGCTCTCTTGAGACCCATAAGGTGTGTACCATACACCAGCCAATGAACTGGTTGGCTGTGCACTGCCTGAAGCACCCTGCCAGTCCTGGGATGTAACTCAGGTGAAGGACCTGTGTTCCAGTATCACAAGTGCTTTTTCCATTTTATATAAACCAAAACCTTGACTTGTGGGCAAATTGCATGGAAGCATCTCAGGGAGGTTTTAAGGTTCCAGCTGTACTTTGCTGGAAAATCTAATGTTGCACAGGTCAAACTAGTGGTTTCCCTTTCCATTCATGAAATAATGTGGTACGCACTTGGAATTGTTAAGTTTTTGAACACTGGATATCGAGTCATGTGCAGAGAAACCCCAGGACAATGCCTACAAGTACCCTTATTCTTCTTTCTGGAGGTTATAGTGTTCCCAGGCTGACTTGCAGCTCTCAAAGCCCTGGCTTACTCATGTTTTGTTGGGCACTCATAGGTGAAACTATGACAGAAATACAGGACCATGGCTAGTGACTGTATGGAGACACAAAGGCAGAGTTCAAAACTTGATCTCCGTGTTTATTTTGACCACTGTCACAGGAGCTCTGGTATGGACTCTTATGGAGGTGATCTGTTTCAGGAAAATAAAAAACCCTGTATTCCAGAGCAATTTGGAGTTAATATTAAATGGATCTGGAGACCTGTGAATGCCTCTTGACTGTGTGGGATTATAGGAGAGGTGTGGAGGTGGGGTTGGTAAAAAGTTCCTAACTGTAAAATCGCGACTCGCATGTAGTAGGGAGAAAAATAATGTGTTTTGTGATGCTTTAAGAATAGCACCCACAGATACAATCAGAGCCTCTGGTAATGAGAATTGTGATGGGATGCAGAACTGAGATTCCAGATGTAGCTCTTAAAACTGTTTCTGGACCTAAATGCATGATGAGTTTTCATTAACACAGCTTTCTGATGAATTACAGAGGGATCTGTAAATGGTTATGAAAGCAGAACAGCAGTATCTGCAATGCTCAGAAAGGGGAGGTGTCACACAGGTAATTACCAGCTACATGACCTTAGTAGTGATGTAGAGTCAGGGAGACTGGTGCTTAGGGGAACTGATGCCAGAAACCACTGGCAGTGTATGTATGTTCCCTGTTAGCTGCCTCCTAAGCTGCAGGAGCATGCAGCTGTTCAGGCAATCAAGTATTTGACTAAGTATCTTTGCTAAAAACCAGTTTAATTTGCACCACAGCTGCTAGGCTGTATTTAGTTATTCTATTTAGACAAAAGTTGGACTTCCTTCATTTTCTCAGTTTTAAGTTCATTGCATCAGGAGGTTGCCCTTCATAAACAGTTTTCCCTATTACATGGGATGGGAGGAGTGGTAAACAATATAATTGCTCTAGCTTCTTTCCTGTTCATAATAAATGAAACTTGGCTGCTGTTTGAGATCCTTTCTCTATGCCTTTTTCTTATGAGCTATCTCTCCAGCAGCTGTTTTCCCATGACTACTCTATCCACTTATCTTTCTGAGTAACTGATGTTTATTTTTTCTGCAGCTGTATTTCTTCAGTTAAAATTATGGATGCAATTCTCTAGGGCTAAGTGTTATTATAAATGCAACATATAAATGGTGTCAAGATGTAAGATAGTGAGTTTCCTCACCCCTGAAGAATTAAGTGGGAGGAGTGGGAGCTCTGAAACGAACACTTAGAGGAATAACACTTGTTATATAAAACAAAAAAACGGAGTTTCAGATTTGTTGTTAGTGCTCTGTATGCCACCTGCTTTGTGAAGGCAGAACTCTGAAATATAATTGACCTTAGTTTGTCTTCTCTGAGGAGTCTCCAAGAGGTCATAAGAAGTTCAGCATCTCAGCGGACCAAGGTATGAGTCTTGCTCTTAACAATGTGTTGATGATGGTGTTGGCAAACAGTCTGCAAAGCAGGGTGTTGCTGCAGTCCAATATCTGCTCCCATTGCCACCACCTCACTGTTGAACATTTATTGGATGTGCTGGTTAGAAATCTGCAGACATATCCATGGGTCATCCAAATGCAGATGAACCCTTTTGTTGCTCACCTAGAGGGGGAGCACATAAGCGTTAGTGGGATACCATCTCCTTTCAGGCTTCCTGTTGTGCAGACTAATTGAATTGTTGGCTGTCACCTGCTTCTTACCAGACTGTAACTGCCTGGCTGTAGTGCTTCCCATAGCACTGTCGTGTTCAAATGCACAAGCTGAATTGAATATACTGCATTGTGTTTCTCACTATGGTACTGAGTTTCTGAAGAGAACTCGCCTGTTACAATCATAACCAAGATGACAGATTAAACAGCTGGCATGCCTCTAACTCCTTTTGTCAGCTGTAAACGTTTGGCATTTCCTGTCAAGGCAAGTTGTCCTCCTGCTTCTACTGAAAATGTCATTGTAGTCTTGAAGTTATTTTTCTTTTTATTTATTTAAAAAATTATTTATTTTCTTTCAGATTTGGACTGTACATTCTTGTGTTCTTGTATAATAGCTGGAAAATTTTTTGTAACTTTGATAAGACAAACACAGCAGCTTTCAAGGTCCAGGTCTGTCAAATGGGAGGACTAAGCTAGACACTGGCTTGTGCTACAACAAGAGACGTGTTTGTTCCATCCAGTCTTCAATTTCTACACACCAGAAAAAAAAAAAACAAAAACCAAACAACACCAGGAAAAAAAAAAAAAACAAAACAAAAAAATCCAACCAAAAAAACACCAAAACCAAAACTCCCCAAAACCCTTGGCTTCAAGCCTTAGCAATTTTATTCAGTTTTTTGTTATTTTCTTTCTGAATGCAAAGCCTTATATTTATTCTGTATATTCAGTTATTGGCCAGTGTCTGGAGCTGCTCTTGAAGTGGGAGTAGGTGAATGCAGTAATTATTCTATAGTTATTCCTCTCCTCCTTTCCTCCCTTAAAATGAGGTTAGAGATAAGATAGCACTCACTCTTTGCCAAAATAAAGCTATGATCCAGGAAAACAAACCTGACTGAGTTAACTTAATTCTGTAATGGCCTGCTACCCACAGCATGTCATATGCCTTTGCCTGCCATAATCTTGCAGTCGCTGCATGAGTGCTGCTCTTAAGGCTTAGTCTTGCTCTCTCATTAATGAATTTCTGTGTGCTTTTAGACATGTGAGAGCCTTAAGTCTTGGGCCTCTCAGTGTAAAAACTGACAGGGTGTGGTTTTTTGTTTGTTTCTTGGGTTTTTAAATTTTCTGCTTCAACATGTTGTTTATCCTTCCCACAATAAAGATTTTCCACTTAAGGTCCAAGCAGCATAATCTCTGACTGAACTGAAAACTAAAACTGCAGGAACAACCAGTAGCAGGAGAAAAGCGTGATGTAAGAGGGAGCAGAAAGTCTATGGCCACATCACTGTTTTGCTGTTCTCACTCCACCCTGGTCTATACATCCCTAGGGGATATAGGAATTACCTGATTTAAAGCAAAATCTATAAGGCATGGAGCAGAGGGTGTTTTCAAGCAAGCTGCTGAAGTAGATGTTTAGAACTGTGCAATTACTTTCCCTCAGGGCAGAAGCAGATCATATAATTAACTTGGCTAAGATGGACTATTGCATGTGTCTTTCTCTTTGGAGTAACAAGGCAGAGAATGTTTATTCCTTTCCTATACACACTGTAGGCTTGCCTACATCCTTGGCCCTGGTCCCAGCTATTACTCATTTCCCTAGAGAGAAGGGGCATGTTATGCCTGAAAGATGATAGCCTGAATAAAGTTGGATCCCCTCACTGGGGATCCTTGCACTGAATCTTGCAGCTGACTGTCCTTTATTAACCCAGCATTTGTCTTGAGAAGTCCTGGTGAGGTCATTAGTCTGGAAGGTCACTAAACAGACTTTGAGGAGAATTGCTTTTCAGGCCAGGAAGGGAGACTGAATTGTACATTGAAAAGCTGAGCAGTGCAAGAAGAGGTTTGTATTAACCCTTACAGTATTGTTTGGTACAGTATTGTAAGACTGAAATTTTTGATGCTGCCTGCACTGATTTTTTTTTCCCCCATCCGGCCTGACTGATGGCAATTCAAGAGGGAAAACATGAATTCTGGCCTTTGCTAAACAGCCACATACGTACTTACTCTGACAACTGCCTCTGTGTGCACAGACATACTCACCTGTTCAGATGATTAAAGGAGGTTGAGGGTCTTCCATGTCCACTAGTGTAGCAAGTAAAGGACATCTTTACGTAATTTGCCTGATACCATCACTCAAGGCTGTCCCTTTGATTTTCAGCTGACATGTAATGGGAAGGTTTAAAGCAAAAAGAAGGACAGTACAGACAACTTGTTTTCTCTGCACAAGCTGAGAGCAGTACAGAGGGAATTTTATTGTCTAAGTGTTAAAGGAAGCTGGAAGAAGTATCAACATGAGGGTCATGGGAAGTGCGGTAAAAACTAAATCTAAATAAAAATTCTGTGTTGGCTATGTAAGAACACAGAACCACACTGATTAATTACAAAAATACACACATGATACTGTTCTTAAAGAAAAAAACTTTCAATTTCTTAGTTCTGAGCTGTACCAGTGATAAAGATGTAAATGGTTTTGGAGCACTCTATCAGTGCTGGAGTAGAATACTGATGTGCGTGGAAGAGGACCGCTCTGGTCCCACTAGCACCATCTCAACCCTGACCTGGAGGGAAACTCTGCTCTGCAGAGATTATGGGGCATTCAGGGGCCTTCTGGGCCTAAACTGAGTTGCTCTTGAGCAGAAAGGGCCAGGGCACCACTGAAGGAGAGTGGTTGTGATACAAGTAAACACCTGCTCAGAAGACACACAGAAATATTAAATTCCCTAAGGAGTTCAGCTTGGCTGTAGAGGGGCCATCTCCACCTTTCCCTGGGAGGGCAAACATCAAGCCAGAATAGCACTTGCTTTAAGTAAAATTAGAAATCCATAATGCAGGTCTAAATGTTGTCAGGACAACAGTGCAAGGCCACTGGTATGTGTGGTGTTATTTCAGCCAGACTTGCACACACAATACACCTGGGACACCCCCTGCCTATACCTACTGTTTGATTATCAGGACCACTTGAAATACTTCACTCAGAAGAAGCAGGTAGCTAAAGCAACCACCTGAAGTGATTAGCCAGTGCCACTGGAGCAAGGTCAAGCCAATCTAATCCAGACTCTTGCCCTTTGGCTAACAGGAGCTTTCTTCTGTTCATTATGGTTTCTTAAACTCTGAAATTTTAAGGACAGTCATGCTCCAATCTATACAACACCACACATGAGTCTGCCTTAGGGGGCAGGCACCTGATTAAGGCTTTCACCTGAAATACTTAAAAGAAAATTCATCCTGTTAAGCAGATTTGAAAACAGCAATACAGCTACTATGTGATTATGTTTCAACTACAGTTCTGGAGTAATTTATTCTGATAGATCCAAGGAAACTGTACTGACCCATACCCTGGACCACAGTAACTGAAAAATAAGCACTGAAAAAAAACCACTTCACTCCCACCTAAAACAGTTGCTAACACACATCAATTTCCTAAATACTCCTTTAGCTTCTACCAGTAAAAAAAAAAGGTTAGTGTGTCACAGACTGGACACCCAACCCTGCTCATTAATGTACAAAGTTTGTATCAGAGTGATGCTGTAGCAGAAATTTTTGCTCACTAATGATTCTGTCCATTAAAAAAAATGCAGTTGGCCAGGTATCAGAGACTTGTCTACATAAAAGTATAAAGAGGGGCTCTTATTTCAAGGTTTGCATTATGTTTAGAATAGTTTTGCCAGTAATAGGTCAGCATTTGTTGAAGTCTTTCAAAGCTCGCCTCAGCTTCACATACAATGCAGGCAGTTTCTATCCATTCCTAGTGTACAAACACAGTTCCTTTCCACAGAGTTCACAGGACTTGTACTGCAGAATAGACATGTGAGACCTACTGAACACTGAAATTTACATCACACAGCTACATGAGTGACCCTATTAATATTTAACATTAAAAAATTAATAGGACTCCTTGAGATCCATCTTCCTTGTTCTGCAGGCACTAAAGCAGTATGACTTACATTATCATTCCTTCTGTGTAGCTCTAAAGCCTGCAGAAGTGAAAAAGACTCTCATCACCTTTTTCCTTATGGTTAAAGGCAGACAGACCAGAAACCAGACCAAGCAGGTGGGGGAGGAAAGAAGTTGAAGTGCTAAACTTTGTCTTGCACTGCACCCTCAGCTTTCTTACAGCATAAAGCTAGATTGCATTAATCCTCTCTGTCATGGAAGAATGTGGTTTTGTTTGTTAGGAAGGAAGCAAAGCTTTGTATTGAAGTGATTCATCCTGTTACAAAGATGGGGGGAGCGAGAGCAAGAAGGGGAGAACTCTATGGTCCTTTTCCAGTTTCTTGTACCATCTGCTGAATTGGAGATACAGAAACAGTAAGGAGCAGGAATTCTACACAGAGAAACACATTAGAAGGCTTGAAATCATAACCCTAGCAGAGCGCACTTGTCTGCTCCTGTGTCCATCTTGAGAAGTTAATCAACATTAGATACAAGCAAAGAATTAAACACTTCCTAACATATATAATTGTGCAACTAGATCTTGAAAGAGGATGTTCTTGTCTAGCTGCAGCTGAGGATTAAGAGACCTTGAACTCTACCTGTCATTCATATCTTAAACATCCATTTCCTTTGCTTTTTCTAAGCTAATAGCTTTTTCTAAGCTATTGGCCTCAGTTACATCCTGCAGGAAAGCTCTTAATTACAAAGTCAAACAAAGCATTTTGTTTTAAGCCATTCTGATGTGGTGATCTAACACTGCTGAACACCCCTGTTGCCCTGCTCTCAAGAATGCATCATTAACTTGCAGCTGACCCCTCACTTGTCTCATCTGTTGTAAAGTCTTCCTCCCACCCCCACATTTCCCCTTTCCATCTAAAAAAGCTCAAGTCTGTCCAGTTATTCAATGTTGTCTGTATTACACTACTGATTACTCTCAAGAGCTCTCCAGTTACCCTGAATTAACTAACCAACTGACTAAACAAAGTCATAGTGAAGATGCATTCTAGGCATCTTTTATAATTTTTTTTTAAATTCTGGATTTCATCCACTTTATAATAAAGCCTGACAGTCAGTTTCCCCTTGCTGACTGCTGCTTGTATTTATCATATGATTCACAGTGGCATCTGAACTTTCAGTCCGCTGCATAGTAAACATTATGCAAAGGCAGTTTGTGGCTTCCAAGTGGCCCATATTATTTACAGGTAGCTGTGGTGCCTTTACAGCTAGCATCATCATTAGCATCCAGACCCTAAATATGTTAATTTACAGCCACACAAAAATGACCAGAGGACATGTTCAAATGGGTGCTTGGCTCACTGCTGCTGTTAACTTCAGTTGTTGCATGTAGCTGGAATAATAAGGGAGTGGACAGGTGTTGCACTGCACTGTGGAAACTGGCATCCTCTTCTGGATTAACCTTCTCTTGGCTCAGCAGCAAGTTCTGCCACCTTCTTATAGATTTTCCTCCTGGTTGTACAGCACAGCAGAAAAGTACAGACTACAGAGGGAGATTGGAAGAACTGACTGCAGTAGTATGGATACGTCTTGCAAGTTACATCACAGTTAAGGATGTACAATTAGGAACCTGTAAGGTCTGAGTTAAATCGCTTGTGGGTGGTGCTTCAAGGATTAACTGCTTTAACTAGGCAGAAGAGCTGATTTGTTTGGGGTTAAGAACCCATTCTCTGCCCCCAAAATAGCTCTACTTATTATGAGGATGTGGCACAAGAATACTGTAACAAAAAAACTAGTAGAGCTCAGCTCCATCATGTTTCCAACAAAGAAAGAAAGGAAAGAATAAACTCAGTTTTAACAAAATTAAATATGTGGTATTTCAGAAAGTTTAGCTCCTTGTCAGTGCTGTGATAAAACAAGACTGTTTCTCACCAGGATACTCCTACTCCCAAGCTCAGTTTATGCATCCCCCAGATCCATGCATCCAAATTACTTTAAGACCATGCTGTTCTGACTTCTGGAAATCCCACTGTTCCCATGGCCTAGGCCTCAAACAGAGAGATCCTGACAATACTCCAAATTTCTGACAAGCATTACACTGCTGAATCAGTAGTACAACACTCCCCCAAAAGAAGCATAGGAAGTAAAGGCCATAAGTGGCAGAAAGGCCCAGCCCAGCCCTTTGGGAAAGATTAGTGTACCTGGTGCTGTTACATACTGCAGCTATCCAAAGAGCCAGAACACAAGCACAGCTCTGGCACTGGGGTGGGGAACTGCTTTCAGGAGGCTCCAGGGTGAGCTGTCAAGAAAGCAGCTGCAATTTTCTTGAGCAGAGCTTCTCACAAACAGGTGTATGCAACTCTGGCACTAACACAATAGGGAGGAAGGAGCAAGAGCCTTGTGAAAAAGAAAAAAATGCTTGTAAAACCTGTTCACATGATTACATCCTTCCTTAACTTTTTACTCTTAAAACTCGTACCTCAGTGACTGAAGTGCCTGCCACAAGCTTTCTGAGTAGCAGCCACTAGAAGTTAATAGAGAGAAGGCTGATGAACAGACCATGTGAAGTTCAGGTTTTCCACCACCCCCCACCTGCCCCATTTCCATTGCTGGAACAATTGAGCTCTCTATGCCTGTTTCCATGTAGCAGTGGTATAGGCATATCCTGATCCACTCAACCACCAAAGGACCTACAGCAACAGTTCACCAGCATTCCATTGTCTACCCCCCCAGAGACAATGAAATACTTTGAAATAGGCAGGACTAAACATACAAGATGTGTTTTTTCTGGATGAGAAGACTTTGTATGGTCAATAAATCAGGCTGAGCAAATTCAGACTACTCTCACAAGAGCAATGATAAACAAAGTGTTCGTAATGACAAGACCAGGAGTTTTTGTACAAGATTCAGGGGCCATCCCATTCCAGCATCACTTCTCCCTCAGCCCTGCAGGCCTTGCAGGGGTTGAAAACTTCTGTGCACACAGGGAAGAAGTACTGTTGACAAGATGCTCCACTTACTTGCTGTCAAGGCAAAGATAGCAAGTCCACTGACCCCACTCATTTAATATTCTTCCTGAAGCAAACTCCCACTAATGTACATATTTTTTTCTTTTTTTTCTTTTTTTTTTAAAAATACTTAAGTGAATTAAGATGGTCACCTCTCCCAGAAACAGGCAGGCGAATCCTCTGGGACCCATGGGATCCAGCTCTGGGACTGGCCCACTGGTAAGCACCTGGGAAAATCAGCACTCTCTTTTGCTCCCACTCCCCTGTCCCATTTGTCAGAATCACTGCAGGTGGATCCAGGTCTCAATTGTGGCCAGCAAGAAGTCCATGGAGCCAGGCACAACAAGGCACAGCTCTCTTCATACCCGGATCTGGTATCCATTGAGGTCTGGCATGGCTTTGGAATCGGCAGGCTTCTTCTCACCAGATGGCCTGTGAGCAGAGAAGGTAATAGCTCTTTAGAAACTGTTTTCAGTCTCAGGTGATGCTGCACATAGAGATGGCAGCACAGGAAAAGGTACACAGAGCTTCAGACTGATCCTGCACTACTGAGGACAGGACTACTCTGCAGCCTCCCGTAATTCTCCCAATGATCTCAACAGAACAGAATGCAAGTTAGGAAGTAGGAGGTCCACTCTGGAACCCCAGGTTATTATCAGGAAAACAATCTTGCTGACAGCAGAATAATTTTTGGAATCTCTTTGAGGCACAGGTCTGTGAGACACCAGAGCTCAGACCCATGCGTAAGGTTAAAAGTCAGCTACCAACATCACTGTCTGTCTGAGCTGCCTCCTGCCAAAACAAGCAAGGAAAAAAACCCAGCTGTCCCCTCAAATCCCTAAGCAATGATAAACTCACAATGGTACTGCTACTGCAGGTCAGAGAAATAACCACTGTTCTAAAGAAACCCAACAGGACATCAGAAGGATCCAAAACCAAACAGCAAGGTGGAGTCTGAGTAAAGCAGATGTTCTAGACAGGTCTCCTGCCCCAGCAGCCCCACTCACCGTCGGTCCCCACGGCTGTTTCGCCGATGGGGGCTGGCCTGACCTCTTTGTGGGGAGGAGACATCTTTCTTTCTGTCCTTGGTGGGAGATGGTGGTCCAGTTCCTTTCCCAATCTGCCAGAACAATAAAATTAAGAGCTGCATGAGCAGAAAACCAATGTGAGTAATAACAAAACCCACAAAAACTAACCATGTTTTATTATATGGGGAAAAAAAAGAAAAAGGTAAGGCAAGTGCATCAAAAATGCAAAAGCCAGAAAAAACAAGTTACAGTGACAGCTATGGCTCCAAGGACTATATAGTACAGTATATAGTCCAACCAAAGCACAACTGCAGCACTGCACAAGCATCCATTAGGGGACCAGCCTGTATAAAATGGGTGGTTTTCAGTAAGAAAGAGGCCCCAGCCTCCAATTCACTTTTCACTCCACACATCTAGTAGTAGAAAGTTTCCTGTCACTTCATTCCCCCAGTACACCAGCAGCCAGGCAAGGCAGTGGATGTAGCAGTGAGTTTCTCCATCCTTCCTGCTTACCTTCAGCCTCATATCACGGGCGTGTCTCTCAAGCTCTTTGCGAAAGTCTTCCCGTGTTAGCTTGTCTAGATCCAGAATGGAGCGCTTCCACTCGATCTGCTCCACACTGTGTGGGTCATGGGACACGCAGTGGCCCAGCTTCACCTTTTTCAGCGTGTGCCAGCAGCGGCGATACGCCTCCTCGAAGTCAAAGATGAGTTCGCTCAGTGTGCGGAAGACGGGCGCTTTGTACATCAGTTCCTCGCGGCGGCTGATGCCCAGTGCCCCATAGCGGCCGCCAAAGTTCACCCCCAGCACGATGTGTCGGAAGTAGTTCCCTGAGAAGTGGGTTTTGAAGCTGATGGGGAAACGGTCCAGTGTGGTCATGTTGTTGGTGAGGTAACTGAAGGCAGCCATTATTCAGGATATAACTGGTGATAACAGTTTCCTGACAAGACACGTCCTACCTGCTCCAGACCCTCCCAGCCTGTTTAGCAGATCGATTTAAGCATCACATAGACAGGATTTGTTCTCCAGGTCAAGAGCCCAGCTCATTGCAGGCTGCCCTACTTTCATCTGGGTTATGGGGAAAACAGACTTGGCCTCTTCAAGGAGACAGTCAAGAAAGGGAAGTGAATTTTGATGCAGTTCTGTGATGCAGAAGTTGCAATGCTAGCACCTTAAGTGTACTGTATTTCATAGCTCCCAAACTGTTAACACTGCAGCATGATTCCTCGGTTTGCTTTAATTTGTTTCACTAGCTACTGTTTCATACACCTTCAGGATAAAAACTCACCAACCTCCACTTTTGAACCATTCACTCACCATCTCTGCCCCTCCAGGTACATGAAGAATCTACAGCCCAAGTATGACAAACTAAATCTGGAAGTTAGCTAGGAAAGATGTGTACTTAAAAGATAACACACTTCTAGAACTAATAAAGCTATTGCCTAAGCTAGTAAATGACATACACCATAATTAGAAGTTGGGGAAGATCTGTAAGTTATTTTAATGCAGAACACATGCAGGCAGTAAGGGAACAATGCTATCCACAAAGGATCTCCTGACCTAACTCTAGCTAGTGTTCTTGCTCCTCTTTAGATGCTCTTTTGTCTTTTACAATCTTATATGGCTGACCAGAGCAGCACCACCCTTCTTGGTGAAGGAGGAGAAACTCCAGAGTTGTTCTGATACTTTAGAGAATTGCTTGGATTTGAATTTCATTGATGGGGTTTTGTGGGAGAACTGGGGAGGAAAAAAAGAACAATGTGGGGCTTGGTGACAGTATTATCACCACTGTCAAAGCATTACAAGCAAGAGAGCAGAGGCAAAAACACAAGGATGGGCAGACATGCACAACTCCAAGAGGAAAGGATACATTCCCAGGATCACAGCTTCCAGGCATTTTATTGGCAGGGCCTCTTTGGTCATTTCTTTGGCCAGGTCCATCAGCCTGCAGAGTGGGACAAGGGAAAGATGAGGACAGTTAGAGGGCTCGTGGTATGCACTGTGGCCAGTTCAGCCCTTTTGCACTATATTTGTAAGGTAAGTTTCCAGGAGAGAGGGTGGCCCACAGAGGATAGGGAACAGAACAAAGTATCTTCTTTAAGAAGATATTAAATCCAAACCAGGTCTCTGCCACATGCCGTTGTTGCTTCCAAGGAATTCACTTCAGTGAGTTGCAGCAAAACTGCTTACTGGCCAACGTGGGTTCTCAGGGAGACCACAGCACCAATGTGTCCGCAAGTAAAACCCGCAAAGGACCTAGAGCTAGCAGTGTTTGCCACACAAGCCTCAAGGACAAACCTTCTTCCCTGGCATTGACCCTAGTCTCTGTTCAGTGAGTACCATGGAGGAGACCTTGGACTGATTACAAAACAAGGCATTTAGACCGACATAAATCTATGGACTAGACCAAGAGTAAGAAGCCAGTCTTGGGAGATTCTCCATATGCTCTTTAAGAGAGTCAATGAACATCAGGTGCTTATTGCCAGGAACTTCTGGGGCACAGCAGTTCCCAAAATCTGCCGTGAGGAGAGTACCCCTTCTCGTTCAAAGTATGAGTCACCAAAAGCTTAGTGAGCCTAGATTCTGCAGAGGCACTCACAGAAGCTATGAAGTTAGACCTGTAAAAATACCTGGCTTTCACAAAGCTTTTGTAGAGCAGGACCTAATTTCAGAATCTCTCAGAAGTTCATATAGTTACATTCCAATTAGAAGCAGGTAGAATATGCACATTTTTGCAATACATTATTTTTGCTCTACTGGATTTACTGATTCATGACAAAAAACCCTACTCTCTTTCTTGAGAAAGACCAGACACAGCTATGCACCAGGCAACAGACAATAAAGTTACCCAAAGCAGGATGCAGCTGCAGTAATGAAAGCCCTGAGTGCCACTAGACCTTGGGCAGGGGATGGAGAAAAAGCAGTGTGTATAGCAGGGCTCCAACAACAAAGAAAGGATTAAATGCTGTGGAGGCTGCCAGCACTTACCCAGTCAGAGGTCTGCTCTTCTTAATCTCAAAGAATTGTGTCCCAGTGTGATTGTACCTGGAAGCAAGAAGTTAAGGGCTTGGCAGCTTGGAAAGTAGAGTTTGAAGAAAACTTGTCTGAAAGACATTCATGGTATTTACTATTCTCACAGCAAAATCATGATTCCACAAATGTAGCAGCAACAGAAGAAAATCTCTACCTCCCTTTTTTGCATTTCTCCCACTGACACGTCCTCCATATTTCCACTGCATTTCCTTATCAATTCTTCTCTTCCTCATACCCACAGATGGGTTTCCACTCCAATTCCCAAAGGTTTATGCTGACAGCACATGCTCTGCTCAGCTTTCCAGTTAGAAAACCGGGGCAGAACAGTTTGATCTCTCTTCCTGCCCTAATCTGCACAGAATACACGGAGCAATGAAACACTCATGGTACCTTATTCTAAAATTGACTGGGATCCAATCCAGAGCACAACCACTGTGGATGGGTGAAAGATGTCAAAAGGTCAGCCTTCATACCTTGAATTAGGGCTGAAGCCAGAGCTAGATCTGTATCTCATCAGTGAGATCAGATTGTGTTTGCATGGCATATACCTGCTCTCCAGCACAACAGGAATGGAGAAATCTCATTCCCAGAACACAGCCACACAGCTCTGCATATAAAGGGGCAGCAAACCACAGATGCAAAAAAGCAGGGTGACTCAGTATTCTTCAGACAGAGAAGGGTGACTGAGTAGGATGACCTGAGAAGGTTTGCCCATCACCTCAACTCACCCACATCTTAACAATGAGGTGATGCAGTTTGCAGTACATCTGACACTTGGCTGTCAGGATCTCAGATATGTGTGTTTTTAATGAAATACCACGTAAAGCCACTGACCTAGAAGAGTGGGTTGTGGGGAAAGGCCTTTGACAACATGCTCATTTGTTACATGCAGCGAACAGAACCAGAAAGTAACTTGGGCAAAAAAAGAAAAGAAATGGAGCAGCAAAACAAAACATTATCCCAAGTCCAGCTTCCTGTTTTCAGGGAACAAGTTTCAGTTCTCCTCCAGCCACAACAGGGGAGCTTTTCTGTTTGTCACAGGGAAAGAAAGTCCTCTTGCTCTTTCTTCCTGGGTTATCACACCAGCGAGTAAGGTAACAGCAAAGGATACTGAAGCTCCCTGATGTAGCGCTGTACAGCTTCCAGGCGCTCAGGGATGGGGGTGGACGGCTGGAACACAGGCACACTTGGTATGGGAATCTGAAATGAGGAGCAGAACATAAATCACTTCTTCCAAACCTCTCCAGCTTCTTGCTGAGCTCAGTGGCACATAGCTATAGGGAGCATGTTCCTCTGAAACCAGACCGTTTTGCCTGCCCAAAGTGACCACACCAGAAACATTCCTCTTTTTCCACAATGGAAATTGGGAAAGGATTCAGAATGAGGCATCACCACAGAGCTGCAAGATAAACTATGTGAAAGGTCCTGCATTTATGCAATGTTACATTGGACAAAATAGATAGAATTAACAAGGCAAGATACAAGACAGGAAAGTGATCATCTGAGGGAGTGTGGCCTCATTTGAGTACTGAAACTGAAAGGCACAAAACAAAAATAAAAGAGGCAAAAATGGACGAGTTTTCCAATATCACCAGAGGGTGGAACAGTCCTGCAAGCAAGGGTAGAAAGGTCCATCACTGCTTCCTGGCATTTCAGATGAGTTGGCACTGACTAGGACATAGGCTTCACAGCATGACTCCCTGCCCTGCAGTGTCTGGTGTTTTGAATTACATGGTCAGGGAATGACTTCTGGGTGTTCACCTTCCAGATTGCTGTCCCATTCTGAGGCCTCAGCCTTATGGGTCCAATCAGATTTTCCTCTACATTTTCACCATTTGCTCTGCAGGGGATAACTGTAGTCTTGTCAGCAGCTGATAAAATGTGTCTAAGTAAAGAGAAAAGACCTGTCCACAGGACAAATAAAAAGAAGACACAAGTTTGGGATGACTGATAGGCTTGGAGAAACAGCCCAATATTTTCTCTCTGAAAGATAGCTAATGCCTTGTATGCACCTTGCTAAGATCAGACTGCATCTTTTCTCAGCTGTTTGGCTTTTAACACTTCAGTTCCTCCTCAGACTTCCCCCAGAGCTGGCCTATCCACAGCTATGAAAGAGTGAGTCAGAGCCAGTTCTTCCTTTGAGCCTTCCACTCTGCTGTGCACAACTGCCTCTCCTGGACATGGTTTCATAGCCAGTGGTATTGCTTAGTGCACCCTTCACAGGTATTTCTGTGGCCACTCATTTCCATATATCTCCTCCTTCTCTCCTGTGTTGGTACAAGTGACTGGTGAAGCAGGTCAGGCACCTGGAGCAGCTGAAAGCTGAGCCAGCAAGCATGGGTAGTTTTCAGCCAGATCAGTTCCCTGTCCTGGTTTGCCACACGGTTGCACTCTGCTTGTGCCCCCCACGGTACAAGGACCAGAGATGGCTTAACCTTGAGCTGCTGCCTCTCGCATCACGCAGAGGCACCGGCTGCCTCACTCCCAGGGGGCAGCACAGGCACGGTGGGAGCAGATGTGAAACTGGGTTTGTTCAGCTGCAGCAGGAGCAGGGAAGGCTGCAGAGAGTGGCACAGGAATGGAGCCATCTCTGGTAGTGCTTCAGCTGAGTCAGTTTGGATGCTGTGAGCTGACACACTGAGTCACAGGAAATAATTTCCAGGCAGAACCAACGAGGTAACAATCAGGGCAGGCTGACTATTCAATTTTGGTTTTTTTTCTTCAGCATGGAGACTTTAATGCTTTTCAGTGGAGACAGACAGATTAAGTGCATGCTGACAGCAGAGACTAATGATTCTGGGTAGTTCCTCCTCCCTTTACTAGTACAGACCTCCAGATCTCCTTTTCCTCAAAGGACTGTGCAACACTGAGACAGCATAATGGCAATCAGTTCAGCAGGGGACTAGTTAATGTGGAAGAGCCTCCTGCACCTCAAGTAATTAAACTGATGAAAGTACACTGTGCTCTCTCTCAGATCTGGGCCTGCAGCCCAGACTGGGCTACAGTTTCTTTTTGCATCAGGCCTATAGCATTTTAATAGGACAACAGAAGAAGAAGAAGAGGAATAAGGTCTCCATCCCTCAATTCCACACTGACAGGACAAGAGATCCTTATACTTTTTTCTTTCCCAGCATCATCCAGGGCATATCTCCTAAGAGCTATAAATATTAGTTAGTTTTCACAGTCCTTCAGAAAGCAGAGAAGAATTTATTTATAACAGAAAAGATAGGCAATGAGATCTATTTTGACTTCCCTTTAGCTATTATGAAAGCTGAAGAGAGCTCAGATTTCCCAAAGTATGCTCTGCCAGGCTTAGCAGACCAAATGAACACACCCTTGATCCCTCAACACTTCTGTGGAGTAGCTGCATCACCCCACTTCTAGATTAATGCACACTGGCAGGCTGTCTATATGCATGGGATTGGGACTCTGCTTTCAGAAAGGGGATCCTGAGAACAACCAAGATTTTCACGTACAAGTGGGCCATGCTGTATGTGAGGAAAGGCAGATGGGAGCGAGGCACAGGCAAAGCTCCACCTTTATTGGTATCACAGAGGTGCTCTTCTGGCCAGCCTAGTTTAGCAACAGTTTCTTTTATGGTACTTACGTGTATCCAAGCTCCTCCCTACTCTTCCTTCTGCAAATAACACAGGAGTGGCATCAGGCTTGGTTGAGAGCCTGACTGAAAAAGCAGATTATTTTTTCTGGCTCTCTTGTTCTGAATCCATTAGATGCAACTCTTCCTGTCTTTGCCCTCATAACCATCTCATTTAAAATCCATTTCTTTATGAGCCAAGCACACATCATTTTGTACTTCCAGCTTGGACCCATTTGATGGTTCCAGCAGCTTGAAGCAAGGCAATACCCCGCCCTGTTGCTGGAAAGAACACAACCTACAGGAGAGTGGCACTCACCCCAAGTCTACTGGAAGGAAATAGAGACTAGAGAAGCTCTCTGAGCTCTCAGACTACAGTGAGAGACACAACCCCATAAGCTGATCTGTAAACATGTGTCTAATCACAGCCTCCTCCAGTCATCATTTTACAGTATTATAGTTTATTGACAGCTTTTTAGAGAGTTATTTCTCCCAACACCCAATGCTGGCTACGATCCATGGCCAAAATTTTGGAGTAGGTAAGTCACTGTCGCATTCCCAACACCTAAAAAGGACTATTCACCCCCCAGCACATGGAGAGCTTGGCTTTTCAAAGGAGCTAGCCTTGCAGAGTACACTTACTGCCCTGATTCTCATCTGTTGCACCTGCCTTTCAGAGAAGCTTGATGGCACGGAGACAAGTAGCGATAAGCAGCCCTCAAAGAAAAAAAATACATCCCTACAGGGGAGAAGGAGCTAAGAAAACAGAGCTCATCCATCCTTGTGGTTTCCTGAAATCCAGCTATATGCTTAGTGAGCTTGGGAATGGCATCTCAGATGGCAGAGTGCTGAATACAGTTTACAGATCTATTTCCCAGGGGTGCTAGCAGATGCAAAAAACCTGTCAACAACTCAAAACCCAACAACCCTCAAAACAAAACAGCCCACTTTTGCCTCTTACCACAAGACCTCAGACCACTGGTGTCCCCTAACTGTAACCCTCTTGAATGAGGACTCTGAAGTGAGAACAGTGGAACTTCTTCACATAAGACCAAAACGAGGGACTGAACACTGTATTTCCCCACCTGTCATTCACTGGAGTCTTGTTTGTCAGCTCCTTTCTTCCATTTCCCTCACCTCTGTTGACCAAATCAATAGTTATGGTTAGGAAATTAGGTAGTGTGTGTTCTGACTGATCTGAAACATGTTTTCAGCCTTCACCTAAGCTCAGGACAAAGTCATAGAAAAGGAAGGAAAACTGAAAAGGAAGGAAAAGTCTAATGGAGTTAGAATAGGGACTGTAATCAGGACTCAGGATTTGTTCCACTGTCACTGATGCCTCTGACTCTTTACTGCACAAAGGATGTTGCATCACATGCTTCTCCAGAATTCCTCATGGAAAGCAATATGGATTGTCTGTATAGTATATAACAGCATGTTCTTCCATACTTCAAATTACCTTCCCAAGGAGGTAAGTCCTTGCTAAAAAAGCCTGAGATGAAAAAGTGTAATCTTTTTGTATCTGAATTTCCCCTATTAGAGTGATGGGAATACTCTTATAACCTGCCAGTGGAGTGACACACCAAATGTTTGCAGTGTCTTTTGTTCACAGTATGCCAATAAAAGGGAGAGATTTTTCTCCAGCTGAGATGCAATACAGAAAACAACAATCACAAGAATTCACATTGAAATGTTTCAGTATGGTACAAGGCTCAGTGAAATGGTCAGTTGTTCCTCTTTTCATAGAGTTCTCTGCAGCAAGGCCAGGAATGTGCTTGGAAATCACACCTGACCCTACATCAGCAGTAAGCTTTGCAAGCGTTTGCTAACTCCTCTTAAAACGCTTGGCATCAAAAGTCTTTTCTGACAGACACAGTTCTGTTCCAGAATGCCTTTTGGTGTGGGAGACTGTACTCAAATCAAATTTCTTCAGGTTCAAAGTCTCACCTCCGCCTGTCTCAATCCCCCACCTCAAGTATTTGGGCTCTTCTAAATTTAACTCTCCTCATCTTTTCATCATTTATCCAGTCTTTCTCTTTAGCCACTGCCCATTCCTCCCTTCGCCTTCCAGGCCGCTCACACACTAGCTACCTGAAGTCCGTTTTCCAGCAAGGCCGCAGAAGAAGAGGGTGCTGCTGGCGCACCAGAGAGGGCAGAGCCCCGCAGACACCCTCTCGCACTCCGAGTTAAAGTGCGGCTGTGCTTCTAGCAAGAGCAGTCCCGGGGCCCGTTTTTCCCAGGGATCGCTCCCGAGCCGGGGAGACCGGCCTCCTAAGGGGACAGGCGGGCGCCTCCTCCCAGCGGGATGCCGCCGTTTCCCCCTTCCCTCCGTCCGCGCTGTGGGGGACGGTCCGCTCCGGGCGCTTCCGCAGGGACCCCGCGCCGAACCAGCCCGGGGGTGAGATCGGGGGGTCTCACCTTGGGCAGGTCGGCGGCGCCCCGGATCCTCTGCGCCACCCGGTCCCCCTCGGGGTGGATCCTGCCCACATGCCGCCACATCCGCTCCCAGGTGGGCTCATCCACGGGCAGCCCGCCGCGGTTGACGAAGAAGGGGACGCCGCCGTCGCGAAGATCCTCCTCGCCCTCCTCCTCCTGCTGCTCCTCGTCCCGCGGTGCCGCCGCCTCGCCGGACGGGGGCTGCCTGGCCGCCGCGGCCCCGTCGCCCCCCGGCATCGGCATCGCCGCGCCCGCACTCAGCGCCTGCCGCCCGCCGCCGGGCCGCCGGGGGCCGCGCCCCGCATGGCCGGCTCCGGGCACGGGGCGTCACCGCCCCCGCCTCGCCCCCAGAGATATCAGAGCGGAGGGTTCGCCGCGAGAAGGGAAGAAAAAGCCGGGCGGGGCGGTGCCGGGTGCCGCATCAGGCCGCCGCCGCGGCGGGGGAGGCGCCGGCGGCCCGAGCGCCCGCGGCAGCGGGCGGGGCTGGGCCGGGCGGGGTCGGACACCGCTCCCCTCCGCCCTGCTCCGCCCTCGGCCGGGTCTCAGCGTGCGCCCGCCGCCGTAGCGGAGCAGGGTTGCTGCGGGCGGGGCGCGGGCGGGCGAGCGGCGGTGTCGCTGCCCGCGGACGATAAGGCAGATAAGGGCGATAAGGGAGGCGGCTGCGGCCGGGCGATAAGGAGGCGGGGCGGAGGGCGGGAGCGGGCCCTGGGGCGGTGCCGGACCGGGCCGGGCCGTGAAGCGGCTGCCGAAGGGTCGCCGCGAGGGGCAGCGGCGGCCCCGCCCTGCCCGCCGGGGGTCTGCGCTCGGGCTGCGGGGGCCTGAGGGACGGGCGGGGCCGGGCCGGGCTGGGCGGGCTCAGGGGCGGCCCCGCAGACGGTAAAACACTGCTGGGAGCCCGGGGCAGGTATCTGTGTTGACATAGCTTAGAGGAACGGAAGAGCTGGGATGAGCTTTCCAGGTAGGAAGCAGTGGTGGGTGGAGGGCGTATTCGATGCTCCTGTAGCACAAAGCAATGGTGAAGGATGGGCTCTTGTGGAACCGCGCCGCTCATCTAGCGGTGTGCTACATATAGCCCGTCCCCCTCAAGGGAGGGGCCACCAGGGCTCTTCTGCCTGGGAAGAGGCAAAATACGCCCCACCGAAGGTCTGGAGGTGCGCTACAAGTGGAAGATCGAGTGTTTTGCTCTGCTTCATCATCTGGTTTTGTTTCAGCTCTCTTGTAGTGCTGAGAAGTGTGAACTCTCATGGGAGGTTCTCCTCGTGCTGCAGGAGACTTGTGAGCCTATTCTCCAGTGTGTACCTGCTGCATTGGTTGTGTCCTCATCTGTAAGAGCCAGGCTATGTCCCTAACACTGGCTGTGCTTTCTCACCACCCTGTGGTATTAATCCATGTTGAAAGCTCTAACATAAAAGCATTCTGTAACTTAAGCACCAAGTGCAAGAAATGTATACAAATTACCGGGACAGCTGCTGAGGAACCCTCTGAAGGGCATCTCAAAATACTCGCATTTAGCACTCCAAACAAAAGGCTGTGGTTCAGCATCAGTGTGGGGAAATACATGCTGGTTGCCATGGAATTTGATGATCCCTGAGAACAGGCTATAGCATTTACAGAGCTGGGTAGAGGATTTCAGAGAGAAATTCCACTTCTTCTGTAGTGCTCTGTAGGCTGTTACTCACATGAGATCATTTCTGAAGGCAAAATACTTGAACACAGTTCTTTGTTGAACTCAACATTGCCCAAAATGCTGAAAGGTTGATTTTTTTTTTTTTTAGGAAAATTAGGCTAAATGTGTATCCCTGCTTCTGCCTTCCAAACAAATCACTAGCATCACTTCATAGAGCCTACATTAACTTCTGTAATACTTAAACATATCAGTCAGTGAATAAGGATTTCTTTTGAATGGGGACCTTAAGCACTCCAGATTTATCACCTCTGTAAGGTTTTTATTGTTTTAATTGCCTTTGCCTCTTATTTGTGAGCAATTGATGGTTGGTTGAAATTGACCTCTTCTATCTAAAGAAGCAGCAAAGCCTGTGACAGGAATCATTCTACAGCCCCTGAATGGACACATTTTGCAAGAACAGTTCAAAACTTCTCATGTCCTCAGTCCCTTCTGCCCCAGTGGTCCTCAGTCCTTCTAGAGACACGGGACTGGGAGTGTGCCAGACATGCACAGGCCTGTTGGGGGACATCATCTGCATTTTGCTTGAGGGGCAGGTATATTTTCAGTAACAGCACTGTGGAAAGGACAGGGAGCAAGGAGTTTAAATGCTTCTTTTAGAGCTGTGTTGCCTCCCCAGGCTGAAATTAGGCACAGCTGTCCATAGAGGCAAGGATGCTTGTTTTGATTCCGAGCTCCAGCACTAATTCAGGGCTGGTAGTTCATATTGCCTTCTGTACCTCAGCTTTTCTACCTGTTGGAGGGAAATGCTAATAACCCTGACTTGCAGCCAGAGATTTTGTAAAGATTAGTTGGCATTTTTGGCACATTAACAATTATTCTTTCTTAAAAGTAGAAATAGTTGTAGTAGAAGTGAAATACAATTCTTGTATGTTTCATGTCTTCAAATAGATTCTCAAATCTCATCTGGAGGAAATGTAGCTGATAAGTATCAGCAGACCTCAAAATAAGCTTATCAAGGAATTTTTGTTTCAGTTTGTATTGGATAATTATTAGGCAGCATCCCTCCCTTCTGACCATCACTCAAATAATTGGTCTGTAGCAGGGGATCTGTGTTTTAAGGTAGCACCATGGCACTAAGCTTTGCGCAGTGAAAAAGGATAGAGCAGAGCCATGCCAAGTGAGGCAGTCCCTGCAGTGGGAACTGGACACAACTGAGGTGACAGCAGAGGATGGAGACTTAATTTCCCCTTCTTGTGCTTCCATGCATGGGGTGCTGCTGCCTGCAGTGCAGGATGTGTAATGTGCATTAAACAGTGCCTTTCATTTCTGGCAGCACACTGGCTAGGATGATTAGAGACCAGAAGGCATGCAATTTCTGTTTAATAACAGCATAAATTGTTCATTTACCTGTGCTCTGTAGAGGAAGACTGTGCAAATGCGCTGTGTGTATCACATCTCAGAATGGTTTAAATGGATGAAACTTTGTTAAGACAGAGTTAAGTTTTGCTGTTAGTGAAAAAGTAAATAATATTGATAAAGGATTGAAATACAGGCATAAATTATTGGAATATGTGTTATTTTTTAAGATATAAAATATTTGATAAAAGTATGCAAGTGGTATACAGACCACTTGAGAAATAAATTCTTTCCTCTATTCTTCTCTGAGATGGGAGGTTTGTCTCTGTTAGAGAGGATCTGAAATTAGTTTCTGTGAACATGGAATACATGGATAGTGAATGATAGTGTTCCCTTTGTTTTATAATGTCTTCTAGATTTTTATAAATATTTAATTCTTTTTACTCCTGACAATCATTTGTTCTTACGGTGTCATTTTGGTTTTGGGTTTTGGGTTTTTTTTTTTTTTTTTTGGTCTTCCAAATACAGTGCAGTGTCTTTGTGATCTTGCATAAGACCAAATAAAACACTTAGCAGCGATTTCTTCTTCTGAATGGCAATTTTAGTCCACTGTTTATTTACATTTTCGTAGTGTGAACTGGAACATCGCAATGATCTTAAGGGTTTTTCCAAACTACATGATTCTATGTAACACTGAATGTTGCTTAGAGTTGGGGTTGAGCTGTTTTTATCCAACTTGGCCTAACTTTTTGTGATCTACGGTTCTCTGTGGCAGTAACTTCCTTCTTCTGTAACTGTTTTGGACTGGTTCCCTTTTCTGTATTCCTGAAAGAGGTCTGTGAAAAACCTCATGTGACAAATCAGCATATTTCTGAATTTATTTCCCAGAGTACTTTCAGGTGATTTCCTTGCCCTTCCATGCCCTTCCTTCCCCTTCCTTGTTTTTTTTTTTTAAACTTTTCAGTTGAAGTTAGAGGGTTGAAACTCATTGTCTAAATGGTGTTTATTGGTGTGTTTTCTTTCCCTGTGTTCAGTTTTCTCCAACTCACAGTACTCCCTTTAGCCTTTTCATACAAATGTCTTTACATGCAGTGAAATTCTGTGCTGTGTAGAAACCCCTGCTGAGATCACTGCGCTGCTGAGCCGTTTGCATGTGCTGCAGTAGACCTCTGCCCTGAGCAGGAATTCTACCTTTGCCCCTAAATTTGTTCTTGACTTGGCTCTAATCAGGACTACCTATGCAGATAACAGCAAAGCTTTTGTTATTTGAATACAGCACATGTAATATTTAGTCTGTCTGGGAGATCAACTGGTATAGCAGTGCCAGAATAGCCCTGTTTTGTTGGCAACTAAGAATTACTTCCACAGAGACTGATACAGTGACTCTACACATCCAATCAAGCTTTAAAATGTCAGCAAATATTTATGAGGCTTCTGTATTTGTCATAGAATCATAGAATGGTTTGAGTTGGAAGGGACCTTAAAGATCATTTAATTCAACTCCCCTGCCATGGACAGGGAACCTTCCACTAGATCAGGTTGTTCAGAGACCCATCCAGCCTGGTCTTGAACATGCATGGGGCATCCACGACTTCTGTTTCAGTGCCTCACCACTCTCACAGTAAAGAATTCTTTCCTAATATTGGATCTAACACATCCCCTATCAGTTTGAAACCATTCCCCTTATCCTGTCACTACCTGCACTTGTAAAAAGGTCTTCTCCAGATCTTGTAGCCAGCCCAGCTTTGAGTACTGAAAGTGGGTCTACAGGAAAGACCACAGACTGATATGATTTCACATCAAACTTCACTGAAAGGAATATGGCTATAAATATAACAAGTATAAAACACTGTACTTAGCTAGGAAGGAAAGGGCTTTTTTTCTGAAGGGACTGTGGAACACAAATTGCAAAAAATTGTACCGGTTTTAAAGTTCATTAACTTCTCCAGTGAGCTTTTGAATAAAGGTAGAAATTCCTAATTTCCTTTCTGTCTATCTGATATTGTTTTCTAGAGATGGAGAGGAAATGGGCTCCTATCCCATAACATATTTTTCCTGTTCTGCACTGGTAGAGAACAGACACTTCTGAAAGATTTAACTGGAAACAGAATAATGAACAGACAGGGTATTTTTTTTTTTTTTGAAAGAACTGCTTTCAAATCCCAAAAATGCTTTGTGTGAAATAGGAATCTAAATGTAATGTTCCTCATCTCCAAACTAGTGTGCTGAGCTTGGTCTAGCATGTGAGCCTTTCTTATAGGGGTTACAGTGAGCATTCAGTTGTACCTGCAAAAGACACCACTTTGTGCTAGCCAGGTCAGGGACTTATGTGGAGCCATAGGTTTAATTTCCTGTGCCAAGTCTCGTGCTTGCAATTTGAACTTCTGTCTGTCTAATCATTAACGCTGCAGATTGTCACTACATTCTGGAATCGGTGCCAACATTTTTTATCATTTTCCAAGTCAAATTGATCCTGATCAGTTTTCTCTTCACAGCTTGGTCCTTAGTGTCTCCAGTTCTAACTTTATCATTTAGTAGTAATAGATTTTTAAAAAAATTTTTTCCCCTGATGCCTAAGATAAAACTATTGCAGGAAAGCAACTTTCAAGTGCTGCATGGGTAGAGTTCTGCATGCATTCCCTCCTCTCTGGAACTCAGTTCTGTCTGCACTTCCCTAGTTTTCTTGTTTGTATGCCTGCAGCATCTCTCCAAAACATGGAAGGGCAACTCTTCTTACTCTTCAAATGGAGAAAAGAGGTAAAGAACCAGGAAGTGCTTTTATTGTTGGTGAAAAGACACCTGAGCAGGCTGTGTGATCTCTGATCCCATGAGCCAGGCAACCACCTCCATGCAATGATACCTTCATGTACCAGTACTGACTGGTTCATACAGGTTCAGCAGTGCTTGGGAATCTGCAGCTCAGAGCACTCTGCATTGTTCTGTACTGTGAACTGTAAACATGTCCTCAATGGCTT